CATTAACCGATCACCCACTGTACTTGATCTTATGCACCTTCTGTGCTATAATTCAGTTTTTAGGTTTGACAATGTTACATATATGCAAAAGAGAGAAGTTCCAATGGGGCGTCCCCTTTCAAGTGACTTGTGCGAGCTAATATTGAGGCAATTGGTGCAAAAAATCATCCCCAAATTTAAAGGGATCATCATACTATACAGGATATATATAGATGATGTAATTGTGTTATGGAAAAGCACACTGAATGTTAACAATTTTTTAAATGATATGAATGACAACCCATATGGGCTAATACTCAAATTAGACCAGATGTCACCTTCAGAAGTGCACTTTTTAGATATGTCCATATGAATCTACAAAAAAGAAATACAAACAAAGGTATACTATAAACCAGGATACGCGCCACTATATACCAGTGGACTCAGAAGACCCATATCAATATAAGATTGCTGCTTTAAGGGCACTGACTCCTTCATTCCCATTGACGAGATAACTCGTCAAGTTTACATAACGTTACAAAAAACTCAGTCATTAAGGCCACTTTAAATATATATATATTTTTTTGAATTCAACGAAACGAAGGAACATGATTTGTTTCCTTCAAGCGGTGACGAATTTCCCGATACAATTATTGGATAAAGTGTGAAGAGAAACGAGNTAGAAATGATGTAATTTGAATATAAATTATTTATAAATACATATGTCAAGTTATATTTTTATTATGACGTAAAATATATTTAAGAGTTTACGACCACTGTGCCTGGTGAGACACTGTTGAAACAAAAAAAGTTATGCATTCCATCACGTACATAAACAGTGTCGTAATTCGCCAAGTGCAAATCAGAAAATTCATAAAATTTTTGTTTATTTTGAACAATCCGGGTAATCGAAAATCTGGATAATAGAGGTCCGGATAAACGAGGTTCTACTGTATTTATAGAATATTCAATAAATACATTTTTTAAGTAAATAATCAAATATAAAAATACTTATGAAATGACATTCTTTAACATTGTGAGAATGATTTCAACTAAATCATGGTAGAGGATATTAGGGTGGATCAAATGAAAATGGAACAGTAACCATTATTTATTTTCAAATGTAATCACCAAAATTACACAAGCACTTGTCCCACTGTTGCACCAAGCAGTGGATACTGCATTCATAGAAAGAGTTTGGCTGAGATTGAAACAGTTTCGAACAGTGTCCATGACTTCACTGTCCGATTAAAAATGTCGACCCTGCAATGCTTTTCTTAGTGGACCGAAGATGTGAAAGTCACATGGTGAAAGGTCGGGGCTATATGGTGGGTGTTCCAACACATTCCACCAAAACTTTGCAAGTGTGCTCAGTGTGCGAGTGGCTGTATGTGGCCCTGCATTGTCATGGAACAAAAGCACTCCGGAGAACACTGTTTTCATTGTCCTCTGCACTTCATGAACTCCAACACCCTCTGCCACTAAAAAATGAATAACACCACGCTGCTCTCCTTTAGTCGCAAACATGATGCAGACTGATTGCCTGCCAGACGACACTCCTGGTCGACCGTCAGCTCATGCCACGTGGTTGTGCGTGCTTATCAAGAGTGAGTCCATTCTTCAATAGGGTTTCTCCTCTTTCACCTCCTGCTCTACATCTACACACAGTTTTCTTACACTCACAAGCACATACACGGAATTATGACCACTGTTCCATTTTCATTTGATCCACCCTTATAGAACACTTTGAACTGCATACAGTATTAAACTATCAGAATTTTTGACTAGGTGAAAATTGAGTAGAAAAATAAAAAACGACTTTCTTTAACATTATGTCTATAAAGAATTATTCTTATTTTAAAATATTTATTTGTATCCCTTACAACCTAGATAATAAAATGAAAATTAGTTAATGAAACAAATAAGATCATGCAGTTAAAAGATGTTTTGGGATAAGTAAGGTTGTGCACATGCAAGAGGGTAAAGCAAATTCAATGTTGAAAATGATAAAAGTTTTTTTAAATTATAGGCAGGAAATTAAATTAATATCAATTGATTTTCAATTAAAATTTTATTAGAAACATATTTTATCGAGAAGTTGTATTAAATTACAAAAATTCATTCAAAGAGAATCTTCATTATTGACATTTCTTGAGTTTAAACATTAAAATATCAATAAGAGAAGTATTAAAATTATAACTTGAAATACTAAAACTCTCCAAAAATTCTCAAAACATAAAATTAAAATAACTCTTACTTACAACCTCATAACCAGAGTGTATGTATAATCTTCAGCTAACGTTTTCGACGCCCCTTCTGGGCTCTTCCTCAGGCTTTTTTGATAAATACTGAACTGGACATTGAAATTCGAATCTTTTCTTTTGATTCGTTTACTTTTCGAATCATCTCACATGGTAACCTTCGAGCCAATTTAAAACAAAAAAAGAAAAGAGTGATGTTTTGCATGCAGTGCATGCGCGCTGCAGTACTTCCATGCTGTTAAAAGGGCTATCTCTTCTTTAAAATTGATGCATGTTGTGTTGCGTCCTGCTCTAAATATCTCCATAGCTTCCAACCATTTAAGATGTTTAGGGTGGGTGGTAGTGAGGATAATGTTTGCTGCGTCAAAGTCCGCCGTGATGTCCCTATCAGTCACATATGTTGAGAAAGCCATAGTAGTTCTGTTGTGTTGTATGTCACCCTTATGTTCTTTAATCCTAATCCCCAATGAATGTCCGGTTGAGCCAATGTAAACCATTTCTCTGTCAAACCTGTGGTCTGTGAGCGGGATGTTATAAATTCCAGGTGATTTGACCAGGTTTGGTGGGTTTTCTCCGTTACGTAGTATTTGGAAAATGATATACTGAAAAACCAGTAACACCTCCACGTATATTCTGATGGGATCCTGTGATCCTTTTCAGTACAAGGTAGCAGCCTTTAGGACTTTGGTCAACAGGGCTTTTACACACTCCTCCTCTCTCCAAGCACTAACTCATGAAATGACACACATAGAGGGGATAGCAGTGGCCCATGGCTACACCAACCTCCTACAGGGATTGTATAAACAATATAGAAGCAGACAACCGGACACAAAGACAAATACAGATTGAAAAAGAAAATATAGAAAGGATCCCCATCACATTCAATCCGCAGTTAAAATTGTTGTATAAAGAGATAGCCAGGAGATGTCAGGTCAACATAACCTACAGAAGATGCCAAACCATTTTCCAAATACTGAAAAGACCCACCGAATCCAGTCAAATTTCCTGGAATTTATAACATCCCACTCGCAGACCACAGGTTCAACAGAGAAAGGGTTTACATTGGCTCAACCGGACGTTCATTGGGGATTAGGATTAAAGAACATACGGCTGACATACAACACAACAGAACTACTATGGCTCTCTCAACATATGCGACTGATAGGGACATCACAACAGACTTTGACGCGGCGAACATTATCCTCACTACCACCCACCCCGAACATCTTAAATAGTTGGAAGCTATGGAGATATTTAGAGCAGGATGCAACACAACATGCATCAATTTTAAAGAAGAGATAGCCCTTTTAACAGCATGGCAGTTCCTGCTGGATTATATCTTTTAAAAGTTTACGTTGAAAGTACTGCAGCGCGCATGCGCTGTACGCAAAACATCACTCTTTTCTTTTTCGTTTTAAATTGGCTCAAAGGTTACCACGTGAGATGATTTAAAAAGTAAACAAATCTAAACAAACATTGCTAAACCCAATATATAACATAACTAAACACAAACCGTATGCCGAAAATCTATCGGGCTAGTTTTAGGCTAATTACTAAACGAATTACGTAACCAATTTGGCTCTAGAGGTAGGCGTTAGGCGCCATCTTTTATTAATATTAATAATTATAAATAAATTAATTAATTTAAATAATTTAGAACCGCTGGGAGAAAAAATCGGCCCGGAGCGGGACTTGAACCCACAACTCCTGCTTACCGTACAGATGCGTTGCCAGTTACGCTATCCGGACCTCCAGTCTGATCTCCTCTTCCAGCGTATATAAGCTAACTACATAACCATTGACAGTTATGTAGTTAGCTTATATACGCTGGAAGAGGAGATCAGACTGGAGGTCCGGATAGCGTAACTGGTAACGCATCTGTACGGTAAGCAGGAGTTGTGGGTTCGAGTCCCGCTCCGGGCCGATTTTTTCTCCCAGCGGTTCTAAATTATTTAAATTAATTAATTTATTTATAATTATTAATATTAATAAGAGATGGCGCCTAACGCCTACCTCTAGAGCCAAATTGGTTACGTAATTCGTTTAGTAATTAGCCTAAAACTAGCCCGATAGATTTTCGGCATACGGTTGGTGTTTAGTAAACTAATCAAAAGAAAAGGTTCGAATTTAAATGTCCAGCTCAGTATTTATCAAAAAAGCTTGAGGAAGAGCCCAGAAGGGGCGTTGAAAACGTTAGCTGAAGATTATACATACACTCCAGTTACAAGGTTGTAAGCAAGAGTTATTTTTAGTACATTCCGGTGTGTGGAGAAGAATAAACATAAAAATAATTTTAAAATCATTTAGAACATTTTACAACTTTCCAAAGCTTTCCAAATTCCAAATTTTGGATTTTCTTCTTGCAGGTGCACAACTTACCCTGTCAAAACATCTACTAATTGTCTTTTTTCCATTAATCAATTTTCAATTTATTATCTAGGTTGGAAGAAGTTCAAATATATGTTTGTAAATAAAAAATTTTCCTTAAACATAATATTAAAGAAACTTACTTTTTATTTTTTACTCAATTTCCAGAGTCGAAAATTCTAATATTTTAGTACTATATGCAGTTTAAAGTGTTCTATTACTTAACATGATTTAGTTGAAATCACTCACAATGTAATCCTTAAAAAATGACAATATCTGTTATATACACTATTCACTTCATTTAAAATTAATAAAATAACTTAGATAAACAATACATGCTCTATAGATAAAAATAAGACAGTAATTCAAAACTTGTAATAAAATCAGACTTACATTACTCTTTGTTTTAAAATTAAATTATCATCAGAGTCACCTACTAATAATACACAGGAGTGATTTGAAGAAGCTGTGTGTTTTTCTTGAAGCAACTTGTAATTTTTCAACATGACAGTAACATATATATCCAAGTAATTATTTAAGGTTTTGGATTCCTAAAAAAAATTATTTTATCTGTCAATAATAACACTCAAATGAATTTACATTTATAATAATAAAAGTATTTTTAATAATATGAAAGCTATAGACAGTTATTGTCAAACAAAGACTGAAGTTTTCTCAAGTTCAATTCAAAATTTAATTTTTAAAAAAGGAATGTTACTATTAACTCATTGTTCAATTTAATAAAAGCAATGAGTTTACAAAACCAGTGATGCACCACTTCCCTAGTATTTTCTAAAATATAAATATATATTGTGAAATTATTTTCATGTTTTAATGTACTTTGAATTACTTAAAATTAATATTTTATTATAGCCGCATTATGTATCTTATTGCAAATTTCTAATGTGAAAAAAATGACAAGATTGCAATTGTATATTTGAATATAAATTCATATTATATATCATATATGCATATTCCCAATGAAAGAGTTATATTGTCGAATACAGGATATCTTCCACAGCAAAAATGTTTGAATCGTGTAAAGCAGCCAGATTATACACATTTGCATACGGGCTTTACAGAGCACCAACTTTACACTGTTTAGCTAGTGGATGCTACACACCAAAATATCATATAATGCTTCCTATGATTCTATCCAGGATCGGTTCTGGGCTGTTAGCCGCCTGTGTGCTAGGTATTCGGCTGCCCTCGCCCCATTATGCGAATCACGAGTAAATTTATAACTTAACCCAACAAATAAAAGTTTACTGGTATGTTTTTATGATAGTTCTGTATAGTTGAGAGGAGTTTAAAAAAAAAAAAACCATTAAAATATTTGATATATTTATTCTGCTTTTATTCTGCTCTCCCATCTTGTATTATTTACAGTATTCAATGTTAAACTAGTGATATTATGATTTAGTATGTCCCATCTATAAGGGGATGCAGAAAAAAACGTGTACAATTCTTGTACAATGTTAAAAAATTAACTGTTACTTTGGCAGCATCATTTGCAACTAAATTTAATAAACGAGACGCACAAGGTACAAAAAAAGCTATAGAATTTATTTTCCTTAAATTTACGATTTATGTATTCTTTGTCATAAAATTTGTCTTTCCACTTCTTTCCCAAGACTACAAATATTCAAGTACAAAATAACCGGTTTCAACTTATTTCTACTTAAGAGGTAGAAATAAGTAGAAATACTGTATTCGCCGGATGACGACAACTATAAGTTCGTCAAAAGTGCTTGCGAAAAAAAACGTACATGTAATGTTGATCTCAGTGTCTTCTGCATTTTATTTTAATATACTTAAAAAGTAGTTAAATAATTAAGAGATTACGGAATTAGGGACATAAATAAAACCCTGCTGAAAAAGCCGCAATTTTACTTAAAAGCTTAACTGAAACAATCTCTAGCCAAGTACAGTGCGGACTGATTTCTTCGTAATATTAGATGTAATAAAGGCAGAAATTCTTCCAGATCAATGAGAGTGGCCAAAAAGTTGTAAATTTTAGAAATTTCCATGGACATCTGGTTCTAAGTAGAATTAGTTAGAAAACAAATAACAGACAATCTATTAAGTTCAACATATGTAGATTTTTATAGCTATGGTGAGAAATGTTTAAAATTTACAATAACCCTGTCGTGTTCATTGAGGTACACTAGTGATGCGACAAAAGAGGCATTTGACATTAACCAGTATCGGCACCCTCGAGATTTGCCAGCCCGTGTGTATGCACACACTGCACACCTACCAGGAATGTCTCCGGTTTCATCCATTAGCCACTAGTAGGGAGCTATTTGACTAAGTGAATTGTTTGAAGATTTAAAAAGTAAAGAATATTTTATGTTATTTTTATGTACATTTCTTTACAAAGCTATATTTAATTATAATTTTCTTTAAAAATATATTTATACAATTGACGAATATTTTGTAACAAGTATGTACATCCACCACACATTTTATTTCACCAAGTAAGTTTTTATAATTTTATTTTTAGTTGTAGCCCTTATATCGTGGCAAGCAATTCAGAATGTAATTGTGATATTAAAAATACATTTAGAGAAGTCTACGGTTTTTACTGGTTTATCAAACAAACGAATACAAATGGACCATACACCATCACTGATGAGCATTTAACTGATTGCCCTTAGAAGTTGGCTTCTTACAGAAACACAGCTTCCCTATCACCAAATGTCACGGCACGCCACTGTAATGCACATATATTTTTTAATTCTTTAAAACATTTTATATATTTGATTATTTATAAGAAGTTTTCTTCTAGAAATAGGGTATCTCATGGCAAAATATGGGCTAGCATTTGAAACAATGAAGCAGTTTTCTAAAATTAATGGATCTGAATCTCTTTATGATTTAGTGAGTTTATATGAATACTATTTCTTAAAATTAAATTTAAAATATTTTTCAACAAATTATTTAGTCTTAACCAAAAACAAAATTATAATATAGAAATTTTATTTAATCTAAAGGGGGTTTAGCCGATCCAAGAGTGTACATTGGACCATGTGACACTGCTTCTATTCGGTAATGTGGCGGGGTGATGTTATCCCAGCAGATCAATGGAGTGGTAGATACTTCCCCCTTTTTTATTTTCTTTATGTAAGTGTGACCTGTTATGTAGAGTTAGTACCTACCACTCCATTGACCTGCTGGGATGACATCACCCCACCACATTACCTAATAGAAGCAGTGTCACATGGTCCAATGTACACTCCTGGATTGGCTAAATTTCCTTTAGATTCGGTAATGCCAGACATTGAGAGGCTGACTAGGGGAATGGATGAAGCACACGGAGAATACTACAAGTTGAGAGCCTCCATAGAGATATGCTCTAACAATAGCAACATAGAACAAAAACTAATATATGGAAACAAATAAGGAGAACTAAAAAATGGCTTGCAGAACAAGTGATATTACTGAGAGGAGATAAAAGTAGGGCAGTAGTCCTACTTATGAATGCTACATACAGAAGGTTGATGAGACAATGGTGTGACAATCTGGATATAGCCAATCTAATTTACACACTCCTTATGAAATCCCATTCTATCTTCCCAAACATTAAACTGATTTTATCTTTTATTTTATATTAACATTTTATATATTTTAATATAATAAACATTAAAAAGATTGACAAAAACCACATCCTGAAAAACTGCTGAATAATGCTACTTTTGTTGTGAAAGATGATGTTTAGTTTCCTTTCTCCACTTCTTATCGTGATTTTAACCAAACATATGAAAGAGTGACACAACTGATCATCCCGTCAGATAATAGATTTCCTCAAATAATGATTGGGTGGAAAATATAGATAAAAAGGCAAACTTTTATAGACTCGGGGCAGTTCTTCACCGATAGAACATGCCACAACACCTCCTGCTCTCACCGTCCAACCTCCTATCTCCACTAACTGGCTATTCCTCGTCCTCACTGAATCGGTCAAGAAAAAGGAAGATGTACAACGAGGTAATATAAATTCATTGTAAACTCTCTCTCATACATAGGAAACTTAGGGAATATATTCATCTTTGTATGTTTCTTTATTTTGTTTTATTAAATATTTGTTTTTATGTTAAGGAAATGCCTCTCATGATAGTTTTGATTCAGATACTTTAACATTTCTTAACTATTCAATACGCATGTTAATCCGCAAGAAATAAACTTGATTAACTGGTGTCATTATCCTGACGTTGGGTAAAAACTTTACAGTCTATACCTTCAGCCCTCCTATAAAAAGTTTTAGAGATCGAAGATAATTGTTGAGTTTAGTTGTGGACTTCTCTGTTGTTGTTATTACCTCAATTTGCACAAACCTCACAAAGAATTTTACTGCTCGAATTCTGTTAGATTAAGCCATCCAGTGACAAGGTGAGCGGATCCTTCAGATCTGACAATTAGAAGGCCTTGACCCCTCGTCCGTATTCTCACAATATATACAAGATACAGAAAGTATACAGGTCAATGAGAGTTACATAGACAGACTGCAGGGTAGAGTAATGCGCTTCAAGAACACAATATTGACAAAAAAAAAAGGGCCTCAACAATGCCATAGTGGCTTCACCGGACATACCTAGGCTTTTTGCTTTCGCGAAAACTCATAAGCCTGTGCCTTCCATCAGACCAGTCCTCGACAAAGCCAGATCTCCCACTAGAAGTCTGGAAAATATGGTGCATTACATGATGGCAGATCAATTAAAAGGCTATAATTTAACAGTGAGGAATTCCAGGGGATTAATTGATGTATTAAAAAGGGTAACACTTACAGAGGATATATACATCTTTTGAAGCTCTGTACCCATCAATTAAAATACAGCCCTGCTTCTGTGCCCTCAGGGATGCCTTATTTAACAAATACGACAGCACATCCCAAAGGAATCACATACAGTGGGTGATTGGTTAACAAACAGTTCAGATAGCAAACAAATTGTATAACGAACACTTTCGCGAAAGATTTTTATGATTGGACAATGAACACATGTTCGGATTACGAACACCTTCCTGAACAACCATAAAAAAAAGTGACAGAAAATAACAAATACTAATTGATTTTCCCTTGTCTTCAGGTAACAATTCGAAACCTTCAAGAACACGGAAGACAACAACATCGATGCTCAACCGCATACCAATCAAATAGTATAATATTCCTCCGAATTTTGAAACTTTCCCTTGTAATTCCAGCTTTTTATTTACCTTTCTGACAAATAATTTTTTATAGTCTTCGCGAGACTGTCGGACGGGCACTCATTAAGTTTTGCGTTGGGGTTTATTTATGAAAGGTGAAAGTTTAACTGTCCCATCGAATATTCGTTAATGTTTTAATACCAAATTTTGAATTTCACCCAGGCCTTGCATTTAAAAATTTTTTTGTGGGCTAGTTGATTTCTGTTCTTTGAATTTTTGTAAGTGCTTTTCTAAAATTTTTATTTAAAAAAGAAACTGATAATATTATGGAGCCTAAAAAGAGGAGTGTCAAGAACTGTGCTCACCGTAGAAACCAAGCAAGAGATAATACCCAAGGTAGAAAATA